GCATTACTCGATTTATAATTTTATCAATTCTTTTTTCTTTCTAATCTAGAATTTTGTTTTAAATTATTTTTTATACCAAATTTAATTCTCTATCGAATGATATCAAAAATGAGATTCATATAACCGCGAGTTGTGAATCTCCTACTTTACTGACCTTGAAATTGACTAGGCTACGTTTTATAATTTTTTCAATTTTTTTCTAAAATTTTTAAAAAATGCCAAATTTTAATATTTACGTGATAAATTCAAAAAAGGACACGAAAGAAAAATGTATTAAGTAAATTAGAAGGGGGTTCTGTACACAAACCCCCAAACCCAAAAATTTGAATAATCCAATCGAATATATTTTAAATAATTGTAAAGCAGAACACTATAAATAATTCAACATTTGATTTTTTATATATTGAGTAAAATTAAAAAATTTTTCTGAAAAAAATTTTTTTACTTTTTAAATAACAAAACACAATTTTTAAAATTTCAATAATAAATTCAAAAAAGAAAAAATTGAAAAAAATTCCACCACCCTCACAATGTTTCAAATCTAGTGCGACGCTCTTTAGTTTTGTCACGGAATCCCAGTTTTCGGGATCACCTGTGTTAGTTACAGCAGTTTTTCAGACTTTTTTCGTCATCTTCAACCTTTTAAAAAAAAAATCTGTTAGGAAATACCGAATTTAGGATTTTGTTTCAATCTAATTGTTTTAAGTTGAGAAATTTAAAGAAAAATCAGGGTAAATAATAGTTAGGGTACTAGTTCGTTTTTTTAAATTTTAGCTCTATTTTGCACCATATTAAATTTAATATATTTGTCTACTAATATGTTTACATAAAAAAATATAGTTCGAAGCGGTCGAAGCGCAGTCAAGATTGTTGGATATTTTTGAGAGAGGGTTTTCAAAACTCTCTAGTTATTTTTAACCTTCGTGTGTATGTTTTGTAACTTGTTTTTTAAATTTATTTTTATTTTACACCATATTAATTTTAATATATTTGTATGCTAATATATTTCACATAAATAAATGTCTGCAAGGGTTTCGATTGTAATTGTATTGTTGTTTATTTTTGCGAGAGAGTTACGAAACTCTCTAATTTTTTGTGATGTTCTTGTGTCTTTTATGTTTTGATATTTTTTAGTTTTGATTACTTTTACTAATGCTAATTAATTTCAAATTTGTGAAATCTGGTAAAAAATATATATCCAGGTCAAATTGCTGAAATTAAATCAGAATTGATTTTTCAGAAAAAAATATGGCTGTACTTTAGCCGGTGTCCGCTTCGAAACCGACTCGAAATATATACCATTCTATTTGTTTCGGCGAGCTGAGTCGAATGGTACCTCTCCCAGGGTGCGGAAATGCCTGTGAACCGAGATCAGCTAATAGTTTACAAGGCGCAGAGCGGGGTAGTTATTGCCATGAGGTGAGAAATTAATTTGATTTGGTTCAAGTCTAAAAAAGTTATAGCCGATCAAATTTGGCTGGCACTCTAGTGGCCGCTCTCTAGTGACCCGTTCCGTAATAAATTTCTTTCTTGAAGAATGTTGAATGATTTATCAAATAAAGCTTTTTATTGTGAGGGTGGTTATTTAACACTCTAATTTTATGATTTAATTCAGGGCTAATGTGTTTCCCGATCCCGATCCCGGCCAATCTCAATCCCGAGCCGGGATCCGGGATCGGGATCGGGATGTGCATCAGATCCCGATGCAAATCCCGATTTTATAAATTGACTAGAAGTCTGTGAAATAAAGTTAACGAAGAGGGGAGGCGTGAAAGTAAGAAAAATTTTCGCCTGCGGCGCAGAAAAAGGAAGAAATTTGGCTTCTTGAAATCCAAAATTCTCAAAATTTTCGCCTGCGGCGCAGAAAAGGAAATGACTAAGGCATTATAGAGATGCCTGTCTTTAAAACTTTAACGAAATATTGAGTGATTTGGTGTGATATCGAGGGATCAAGAGGGGTTGCGGGGAGTATCGGTGGATTTGGAGTATAGAAGGATATCGGTGAATTTACAGGGATTAAGTTAGATTTGAAGAGAAATCGATGGCTTAAGAGATATTACTACATGAGTTATCATTTAACCCCTCAATCTCAAATCTTAATCTTCAACATTTGAATGTAACGCACTTAATCGTATAGACTTGAACGTTTAGACTTGAATACCCTTGGCCTTCCAAAATAAAAAATATTGCCTTCGGCGCTTAAAAGGCAGGAAATCTGGCACATTGGCCTTCCAAATTTTTTAAAATTTTTGCCTGCGGCGCTTAAAATGGGAGAAGTCTAATCCCTTTTATCCCCCCCCCCCCTACATACCTTATCCCCCTTAATCCCCTGAACCGTAAAGTAAATCATGCGTCTATGAGACTTAAACTCACTATTTCAGCACCGCAGTGGAAATTTTAGAATTATACATATTGAGTCGTATGTGAAGAAAATAAAAATTTAAATGTTTTTAAAAATTTTTTTTAGTAAATCCCGATCCCGATTTTTCAATTTTTTCAATCCCGGTCCGTAGTAGGCTCACTCATATATTTTTCAATCCCGGTCCCGATTCGGGATCGGGATCGAGATCGGGATCTCCATTCCAAATCCCGATCCCGATTTCGGCCAATCCCGATCCCGTGTCAGGATCCGGGATCGGGATCGGGATCACCATTGCTAAATCCCGATCCCGGGTTTTTCTCTAAATCCCGATACCGCTTAACTCTAGTTTTCTGTCATGGTTATTTTATGAATATTTTTTGTCTTTGTTACGATCGTAGTAGGCTCACTCATATACGCACTTGTCATTTACTTATAATTTGTTATGGAAAGAATGATTGACAGTAAAAAAGTAAAATTAATCTGAGACTCAAATAGGGGTGGGATATTGATAAAGTAGCTAGGATATTGACAAAGTACTCTTGATTAGTTCCCATCAATTCTTTTTTATTGGCCTTCTAAATTCACGGAGCAGTTCATTTCCGTCTGCACAGTGTAGTCCCCCTTGTATTTGCTTCATTCAGCTCAGTCTCCTTAGTTTAATTAGTTTAAAAGGATTAAGAGGGCTATCACGGTAATTGTCGGGATTGAAGTGAAGATCAAGGGATTTGGGGATTAAGGCGAATATTTTGAGATATCATGAAATATATCTGTGGATTTGGATAGATATAAGACATTTTAAACGATAAGTTGGACTCAACTGAGGTATATACAAGTGAAAACAATTGTCCGAGAAAAATTAATTTATTTTTGGAAATATGTTTGAAAAAATTCAAAAATTTAACAAAACTCCAACAATCTTTCCTAAAAATCATAAAAAAAAAGTTTTAAAAAATTCACGTCGTTAAGGGCGTATTTTTATTTCGATTGTCGAATTTTTTGCTATTTAGTTTCGAAATGAAATGGAAAAAGAACACGAAAGCTAGTCCTAATTTGGTCATGCCTGCATAATTGCGATGAATTATGAAATTAGAAAGGTGTTCTGTACACAAACCCCCCGTTCCAAAAATTTTTTTACAAAAAAGTAAAATTTTGACTATTTTAATGGAAATTACATTTCCCTTAATAAAAATTGCATTTGTATTTTTATATATTAAGTACATAGAGATTATATTTATATTTTAATTAAGCTATTTAAAAATTCTTGAAAATTAGGGTAAAATTGACAAAAACACTAAAAAATTGGAAAAATTTTGTATCAAGCGACAATTCAATCCCAAAAAATTATTTTTCATACACATTTAAGTCATTAGCTCTTTTTTCTATTCATTTGTCTTTCCATCTTGAAACGTATGCAATTTATTATTTTTCCATGATAATAAGTTTAAATCAGGGCTCGGATTCGTACTTTTGTAAAAGTATTGTACTTTTTTATCGACCTCCGTACTTAAGAAATTGAATTTGTACTTTTTTGAAAGTATGTACTTTTTTATCAACATTTTTGAAAAAACGAAGAAATCTGGCTTAAGGACCTCCAAAATTCTCAAAATTTTCGCATGTGGCGCAAAAAATGGAAGAAATCTGGCTTCTTGGTCTCGTAAATTCACAAAATTTTTGCCTGCGGCGCTGAAAACGGGAGGAAATTGGAGATTTTATTAAAGATAAGGCGGAGGGATATTAGTATATAGTGGGATTATACCAAGATATCCCTCTTAGTCCCCAAATCCCACAATGTCTTTTTGATCTCTTCAAATTTGCCTCTCTCTATATCATCCAAATAACCAGAAAATAACAAGAATTTTTCGCTAAACTCGAAACCCGTACCCGAAATTTTTGGAGCGTACTTTTTATTAGCAAATTTTCTCCCTATGTACTTTTTTTACAAGATTTTGATACTTTTGAGTGGCATTTTGTCGATCCGAGCCCTGGTTTAAATAATATATTGTTCAATCTCCTACGATGTTGAAATAGAAATATGATTTATTTTTGAAAGAGAGTTTCTTAACTCTCTAATTTTTCTTTTGATTTTTTTTCTTCTGCTGATTTCTGCTCTGATTTTGCTTTCTGATTTTCGTTATTATTTTTAGTTGAAGTTCAGGATTGTGTATGCTTTTTTTATTTTTAAATGACATATTTTTTTCGAATTGGGCTTAATCCACAGGTTTTTCTGAAAAAATTGTTGGGTGGACATACGGCGGGAAAATCATAAAAGTACATATAATTTTCTGCATATTTCCCAAGTACGAGAAAGTACGAGCTACGTGTGCAAACAAATTTAAAAATTCCAACCACTACTTCAGAGGCCGAAAATAAATTTTAATTTTTTTAATTTTAAAGATTTTTTTAATGTTTGTGAAGATGTCCTTTTAGATTTCATAATTTGTCGGCTTTAATAAATTTATTATACAATATTTTGCAATATTGCCCTTTTACATATAATCATAAAAAAAGTACATTTATTACAAAATATTGTCAAAATACACCGGGTGTTTTCACCTATGTTCATTTTAAGTTATCTTTTTTATTTAGCGTTAATTAATAAAAATTTATTACATAATATAATATTTTATATTAATTTAGAATGAAATTAATTAGTGTTTTATTCTTTTTAATTTTCAATTCGATATTATGGAGTTTAATTAATTCTGTTAAAAATAATAAAAATAAAGACGAGTTAATTAGAGTTGAGGAAACTTTAAAGAATTTAAATGAAATATTAAATAACGGGGCTGAATCATCGTCTGCTGCTCAAAATCAAAAATATGAAGAAACGTTAAAACCTAAAGCTAAAATTGCAAAAATGGAAACTACTAGAAATAATGAAGAAGAAAGAGGGATTTATAGAAACGAATATATGAAGGATTACTATCAGAAGAATAAGGAAAGGTTTAGTGAATATCGGCGAAAAAATAAAGAAAAACGACGTCAAACCGCAAAAAAATATTATCAAAAAAATAAAAAAAGGATAATCGAAAAGAATACAGAAAATAAGAAAAAATACCGATTAAGAAAGAAAATTGAAAAAGAATCACAACAAAATGATAAATCAATTGTAGAAAACGTTAATTTTGATAATAATAAAGGAACTTCTTTTGTTAATCCACAAAATAATGACTGTGAAAATAAAGGAAAAGAGCTGACAGTTTCCAAAGAGAACGTTCAGTTAGATCAAGGAAATATTTGTTGTGTCCGATATTTAAGAAAATTTAAAATTATATTTATTTAAAGTTGACCTCTTCAATATTCAAATATACATTTTGCCTCCCACCATTTTCCAATCTTAATATTTATAATATTTATTTTTGTTGATTGACATTTCCCCTTTTACATTCAAAAATCCCTTTCATCCTAACCTCTCTTCCCTTCACAAATTCAAATAACTGTCAATCAAACTAGTAAATATTCAACCCACTCTTCACCTCTCATAAATAATCAACCGCCCCAATTTCCCCATATATAAACAAAAACCTCTACCCCAACTTCACCTTATATTGAATTCACTTTTAATTTAAATAAAATATATTTGTTGGAAAATATTCTTAAAATAAATAATTGAAAAGTCCTCAACTAGTCTTGAGAGTAAAATAAAAATAAATTTAAATTAAAGTAAGATAACTCGGATCTTACAATATTCATCCACAAAAAGATATTCCTCAATCTACTCATAATGAGGGTGGAATTTCATTTGGTAATTTACAAACTAATGATTATCCGAATAATTTAGATGACACAATTTATGACACTTCTAAACAAGAAAAATTGCAAAAAGAAAGGAATTCTATTCAAAAAGAGGATCTGGAAAATTTGCCTGATTTGAAATTTTTGGAAGCTTCAAATTTTTGGGACGATCCGAATTTCTGAGGATAACATGGATTTTTAAAATCACGATTTAATGTTAACATAAAAATATTTTTTAATTCTTTATTATATTATTTTAGCCTTTACTTGTTTTAATTAAAAATAAAAAGAAAATTTTGTATTATTGACGGAAGCCGGAGACATCCCTCAATATAATTAATTATTAGTGAGTTTCAGACACCTTAGACTACAGGGTGCGTCAAAAGTTCCCGTACTTTTGTTAAGCATAAAATTTAGTTCAAATATTTTCTTAAATTTTATAAAATCTATTAAAAAGTGTTCATTAATATCTAAGGAAAAGAAAGATTAAAACAAATTTCCAAGAAGTCTTCCCTCCGCCAAGATATACGCGTCTAAACGCTTACTGAAGTTGCCCAATATGGTCGCGCACTCAACCAAAGTAATTGAGTCCCAGACCAGTTGCAATCCCTCTTATCTACATCTTTTGATATAAATCGTATCCATGGAAGTCTCTGCTCCAATAATTACCAAACTACGTGTCCATAGCATTCAGATCTGGGGAGTTATTTGGATAAATGTCTTTGCCCCAAAATCCTGGAAACAACCCTTCGCAGAGGTAAATAATTGTTTTTGCTCAATGTGAAGGGGCCCAATACTGCTGCGGCATAAAATTTGTTTTATCTAAGTGTTGCTGTGCCCAGGAATGCAATGGAACACATCCCGGCTAAAACCATTGTTTCTGTGCAACTTGACAGGGATTCAATTGTGGATGAGTGCGCAACCATAGTGGGCAAATTTAGTAAGCGTTTGGACGCGTATATCTTGGCGGAGGGAGGTCATTTTGGACATTTGTTATAATTTTTCTCTTCATTAGATATTAATAAACACTTTTTTATAGATTTTATAAAATCTAGGAAGATATTTGAAATAAATTTTATGTTGAATAAAAGTAGGGAAATTTTGCCGCACCCTGTAAGGTTGGCGGTTCCGGTTATCCGAAACCAGTACGGAATACCGGCCGATACGAAATCCCGGGCTCTACTTATAATTAATGTTTCAATATTAGGGAAGGTTATTCCAATGACGTGGAGTGTTGCTATAACAATGGGGAATGTTATTCCATGTACGAGAAAGTACGAGCTACGAGTGCAAACAAATTTCAAAATTCCAACTACTGCTTCAGAGACTCATTTGACTAAGATAAATTTTAATTTTTTAATTTTAAAGATTTTCTTTAATGTTTGTAAAAATGCCCTTTGAGATTTCATAATTTGTCGGCTTTAATAAACATGTTTGTACGAATTTGGCAATATTGACCTTTTACATTTAATCACAAAAAAGTACATTTATTACAAAATATGTCAGAATACACCTCGTATTTTTACCTATATTCATTTTAAATTATTTTTATTTTTTAGCGTTAATTAATAAAAATTTTATTACATAATATAATTTTTTATATTAATTTAGAATGAAATTTATTAGTGTTTTAATCTTTTTAATTTTCAATTCGATATTATGGAGTTTAATTAATTCTGTTAAAAATAATAAACATCAAAACGAGTTAACTAGAGCTGGGGAGACTTCAAAGAATTCAAATGAAATATTAAATGATGGGGCAGGATCATCGGCTGCTGCTCAAAATCAAAAATATGAAGAAACGTTAAAACCAAAAGCTAAAATTGCAAAAATGGAAACTACTAGAAATAATGAAGAAGAAAGAGGGTTTAATAGAAAAGAATATATGAAGGATTACTATCAGAAGAATAAGGAAAGGTTTAGTGAAAATCGGCGAAATTACTATAATAAGAATAAAGAAAAAGAACATCAAACCAGAAAAAAATATTATCAAAAAAATAAAAAAAGGATAAATGAAAATAATACAGAATATAATAGAAAATACAGATTAAGAAAGAAAATTGAAAAAGAATCTCAACAAAATGATAGGTTAAGTCAGGGTGACACTTTTATCACGTTTAGTGGGCCCCTTTTTGACTTTTTCACCCCTTTTTGATTTTTTCCCCTTTTTCCCTCCTTTCTACATGCCATTTTTTACCACCTTTTTATACCCTTTTATCACGTTTAGGGGTCTTTTCCTCTTTTTTGCCCCCTTTCTCCTTCTTTTCTACATGCCATGTTTTGCCACCTTTTTATAGATCAGGGATGTGCCGAAATAGATCTTAAAAAACACCCCTGGTATAGATGGATCAGACTTGTTATAGCGTTGCCTCTTTGAAAAACTCGGAAAAACTCCTTAGCTTAATTCTTTCAGTGATACTATCTCTTTAATTCTTATCCTGATTTGTTCTTTGCGTTAAAACTAGTTAAAAATATGAAATTTAGGCTTTTCATTAATTATTTTATAATTATGCCCCTTCTATTCCCCCTTTTTGAAGGTCCATGCCCCCTTTTGGTTATTTGGAAAGGGTCACCCTGGGTCAAGTCAAAGAAACGTTTCTGGTAACAATGAAGGAAATTCATTTATTAATAACCAAAATAATGACTGTGAAAATAAAGGAAAAGAGCCGACAGTTTCCAAAGAGAACGTTCAGTTAGATCAAGGAAATATTCATTCACAAAATGATACTCCTTCTCAATCTACTAATAATGGTGAAGGAATTTCATTTGGTAATTTACAGACTAATGATTATCCGAATAATTTAGATGACACAATTTATGACACTTCTAAACAAGAAAAATTGCAAATTGAAAGCAATCCTATTCAAAAAGAGGATCTGAAAAATTTGCCTGATTTGAGTTTTTTAGAAGATTCAAATTTTTGGGATGATCCGAATTTCTGAGGATAACATGGATTTTTAAAATCACGATTTAATGTTAACATAAAAATATTTTTTAATTCTTTATTATATTATTTTAGCCTTTACTTGTTTTATTAAAAATAAACAAAAAATTTTGTGTCTATGACGGAAGCCAAGGACATCCCTCAATATAATTAATTATTAGTGAATTTCAGACACCTTAGAACACATCAATTTAATTTTATTGATAGGAGTTGGGTTCGAAAATATTATATAATGTAATACCGAGGGTCAATCTTTTAATATGGATTCCTCATCAGAGCTGAGTTTTTTCGATGAAATGAACGCAAAAAATATACCCTATCTGAGGTGATATTCATATTAATGGTTGAGCCAGCTGTTTTCTAAATTAATTTTGATATTTTATTTGAAATTCAGTTAATTAAATACTCTCTCTACCAAACGATCAGTTATTTTTTCTAAATTTTGAATATAAAAATAATCTCAGCTATAAATTTTATTTATCAGCATAAAAATATTGTAATCACTAGGGATTGAATTTTTAAGTTGTAAACTTTGAACTTTTAAAAAACCTTTTAAAGCTGTGAACTATAAAAATTTTGCTTTCCCCTTTAAATAATTTCTCAGCTCAATATTTATTTAATTTAAAATTATGACGGACATTTCCCCCAAAATACCTTGCTTCTTAATCTCCTTTCCCTTTAAAATTCAAGAACTTCCCATCAAATTAATAAATTTATTTTAATTTTATTTAATAATCCCCCGCCCAACAAACCTCCCTATATAATCCCAACATTTTCCATGAATTTAATTTATATTTTTTTAAGAGCGGTCATCGTTTAGATCGACGGTGTTTCGCTTATTTGAACTTATCTTCTTATCATTCTTAGTCAATTTTTAAAATTTTTCTTCTTATTTTTCATTACAATTCTTAATAAGTTTAAATTTATCAATTTATTTTTACATATTTTTAAGTATAATGAGAGTAGGAAAATAAAGTTTTGATTTAGGGTCGTAGAAAAATTTTTAAGATTTTTGTTTTTCATTGAAATTTCCAGCATTTTGCAGTTTGAAGGCTCAATTTATTTTTAAATATTTTAAAACACATTTAATTTAATTTTAAGATTTTTCATACGTCTAATTTTTTTCCAAAAAATGCTTTATTCATTACGAACAGAAACAAAACTTGATATATTTAAATTTCTTGGATATGAAGAAGTATGTTCAACCAAACAAACAAATTTATATTTTTATAATTTTATTAACAAATATGGAGAACTTGCTTGTGAGAAAATATTTGAGATTTCAATTGTATAGTTTTTAAACAATTTTTAAAATTTTTCTTCCTAAGGTTCACAAAAAATGGACAGAAGGCCATAAAATTGTTGATAATAAAATTGAAAACTTTGACTCTCAACATCTTAAATAGAAGGTCGCCTATAAAATTCAAAACCACCCTTAAAAATTCTAAACCTTCCATCGAATTAATAAATTTCCTTTTTCTTATTTTATTTAATAATCCTCCGCCCATTTTACTCTAAGGTTACAAAAAATGGACAGAAGGTCATAGAATTGTCAATAATAAGATTGCAAAATTTGAGTCCGAACATCTTGAAGAGAAGGTAAATTAATTTAAATTAGTTGAAGATTTCTTTGTTTTTTAGTGGAGAAGTGGACTAGAAAACCCAATTCCTTTATACTTGCCTGTGCTAAATTCTGACAAAATTTATATTTGGCTATCTAAAGGTTAAATTTTATTTAATAAATAAAATTCTAAAAATAAAAAAAATTCAGTTTGCAAAAGTGGTGTGCGAACTATTATACTTCAACTACCAACAATTATCAGAAGCGTAAATGACATCAAAATTGTTTATTATTATTTAAATAAATTCTTCAAATTTTACTTTACCTGTGGAAATTTTGGTGGATATATTTTCAACCCAGAATTGATTCAAATATTATTTGAAGACAAACAATTTCATATTCAAAATGCCGGCCTCAATCTGGATTGCAGCATTGAAGAAAAATTCATATTTATTTGGAAGCATCTTCATATCAATTACTTATCAATAAAGTTTTCTCTGGATAAAGACGCCAGAGAATACACTGATATTTTGTATAAAATTTTGATGAATGGAAAAATGCTAACCAAATTATATTTAACAGCATTCAATTTGCAGGAATTTTTGGAAATTATCTTAAATGTAAGTTTTTGTTTTAGCCAGGCCTCATTTTGAAATTATCATATTTCTTAAATTTTAGTTGATTGAGACATCAGAGGATTTCTCAAAAATGGTGGCTAATATTCGGTTGACAAGTGTAATTAATTTTGTTGGGCTAGAAGATAGGGCTGAAGAAACTGAAGAAGAATATGTTGGCGATTACTTTTCATTAATGAAGTACAATTTTCGCAACAAGTTTATGCCGCAGATTGATATGAGAGTATTTTTCAGTATAAAATACATCTATGCAACAAATTTATGCCGCAGATTGAATTTTGTATCGAATATGGTGCAAATTCTCATAGAGAATTTGAAGATGTATTGGACACTGAGCGAATAAATTATTAATTTTTTCTGAAAAAAAATATTTTTTAATTTTAACTATATTTTACTTTTTATTTTCTGATAAATTTTTTTGATTTCCAATTCTTTTAAAGCCTAAAAATAAGCTTAAAAATAACCTTCCTGGGAAAATCGATTCAGAAGAAGACAAATTCGAAGAATAAATCTGTTCTTCATCTAATTTACTTGGGTACAGCCCATTATCGGTATAAAGAGATTGGTACCAAAATTACTAAAGTCGAGAAACTTTCCATCTAGTTAAGGTTTTGTGCCGTTATGTTACTGTTTACTTTTTCCCTATTTACTTGTTTCACTTGTTCCAGATTTGACTAATATTAAATCAGAAAAGGAAATATAGAAAGACCAGACTAGTTAAGAATAAAAAATCAGAATTTATTTTGTACAATTTACATTCTGTCTAATTCACATGGATTGATATTTTGCCCGATTTATAGGAAACGGCATTTTGTCTACCTTTTCCATTTTCCCACACTTGTTGAAAATTACAATTTTTTATTTTTATCTTTATTTATTGTTAAAAACTAAAAAAATCGCCGATGAGTAAGCTATAGTTTAATAAAAATACTAAAAGCGTTCAACGTACAAAAAAATCAATTTGGCTCTCTTGCTAAATATAAAAATGTTAAACAATCATCGTTAATTTATTGCTCATTTACACATTTTTTAAATTAAAAAATAAATATTGTGTAGTTTTTCTCTCAGTTTCCCTTTATTTTTAAATAAAAATGGACAGTCTTGTTTCAAGTTTGAGTTCATTTTCTTTGGAAGATCCCTGGCGTTTATGGCTTTATGAATGTAATGATTTTCCTCAACACTGCCCTCCTAGAAAGAATATTGTTGAAAATGTAAAAATAATATTTGACTTTAATTTTGTAAAAAATTTATTAAGGGAAGTGGCACTTCTAGCAAGCATTTTTGTGGATTTTGTGTGAGTAATTGTTTTAAAGTGTAATTAATGTCTAAACAGGAGGAAACTAAATAGTAGAGACCGACAAAATGGAACTTCCGGGATCCCGAGTCGAGATTTTTTTCCTTAACCGATGCCGGGACGGGGTCCCGAGGGATAAATCCCGGAAAAAATCTCGGATCCTGAGAAATCCCGAAACTCAAAAAAAATCCGGGATCAGGATCCCGAAAAATCCTGTCGGGATCCCGTTCCGCGCCGATCTCTACTAAATAGTTGTTTAACGTTTATGAAATTAACTAATGAACTATGTTAAATTTTATCAGAATAGATCATAAAAAATCAGAATTCAGATCAGAAAAAGATCAGAATTCTGATCAGAAAAAAATCAGAATTCTGGTCGTAAATATTAGAATTCTGATCAAAAAATATCAAAAGTATGGTCACAAAATCAGAATTCTGGTCAGAAAAATCAGAACTTTAGTCAGAAAAATCGAAATTCTGGTCAGAAATGTCAGAATTTTGATCAGATAAATAACAAAATTTTAATATAATTTTGAGTCTGAACTACATAATTCCCAAATTTCAGCAACAACTTGGGAAACTTAAACACTTATTTACAAATCCTTTTGAAGAATCTGGGGATCGTTGGATGAATTATTTAACTAAAGATTGTTCTTACAAGAGTGCTCAAACTATGTTTCGCTCTATTCAATTTGCCGTTAATCGAAAAGAAGATAATTTGTTGCCTAGTCAGCTGGCTAAGCATATTTGTGAGTTTAAGAATTATCAGAAAAAAATCAGAATTTTGATAAGAATTTATCAGAAAAAATCAGAATTATATTTGAGTTCTGATTTTTGATCCGAGTTCTGAATCATAATTCTGATTTTTTTAATTCTGATTTGGAAAAAATCAGAATTTTATTGAAAAGGGATCAGAAACATCAGAATTATGATCAGAATATCAGAAAAAATCAGAATTTTATCAGAACAAAAATCAGAATTTTTACCAGAAAATCAGAATATATCAGAATTCTGATCAAAATATCAGAAATAAAATCAGAATTCTGTTCAGAAAAAAAATCATGACTTATCGGGAAAAAATCAGAATTTATACGGAAAAACTAAGATTCTGAGCAGAAACTAAATCAGAATTTATCAGAGAAGTAATCAGAATTCTGATCAAAAAACAGTATTTTTTATAAAACAGAATTATCAGAAAAAAAATTTTCTGATAAGAAAAAACAGAACTTTTACCAGAAAAATCAAAATATATCAGAATTCTGATAAACATTTTAACAAAAAAAAATCAGAATTCTGGTCAGAATAAAATCAGAATTTCGTTTATAAAAAATCAGAATTCCTACCAGAATAAAATCAGAATTCTTTCCATCTTTCAGTCTTCAACAAAAAATATGGACGTGCCTTCTTTCGTGAAGGAATTCCACCCAATTACGAAGACCCTCAAAACTTTAAAGGGGGAAATTTCCAACTTTTATTACTTGGAACGACAGGGAATATTCAATTATTAAAAGAATTTGACAAAATTTTTATTATTTGTGTTAAAAATTTAATTGGAAATAATGAGGGGAATATTGACAAGAGATTTAATGGAATATTTTTACGTTGCGAAATTAATCCTGGGAAAAATTTGGATAAATCTATTGATAATTACAGTGATTTGAAGGATCTGCCTTTTATGGTTAAAATTGAGGTGAATTATCCGTTTAGTATTTCCCGGAGAGAATATAAATTTTTTGCGGGGCATTTAACTACATATAGTACGTCCAGGTTCAACTGAGTTACGACCCTATAACTCAAAAAGATGTGAATAATTTTTAATGTTCTTGTTAATATTAGATACAAAGATTCTTGAAATCGGGAGCAGGCCAGGGCACCGCGAGCCCAAGGTAACGCCGAGCTATGACTTCGTTCAAAATTGTCGAATCCGGGACGCCTGATTTTGTTCGACTCATCTCGTCGAGGGCATCGAACCATACGAGGACGTCCCGGATTCGACAATTTAGAAGAAAGTTATAGCTCGGCGGTACCTTGGGGTGTACCCCTTAAAATCTTTGTATTTAATTCTCTATCTAATGGTGACAGGAAAATTAAAAAGGTAACCATCCCTTCGTTGGATATAGGGGCCGTGACTTTATTTCAGGACCAGAATTGCAGATTGCGGATTTTTTTTTGACTTGCGGATTGCGTCTGCAAAAAATTTTTTTTCAATTGCGTCCACCACTGGTAGGGACTGAAGATCGGTCTGGGTCTGGACCAAGGCCTGGGTTTTTCCTGTACCCAGAGTCCAGGCCTAGGCATTTTTTGACCTTCCTGGGTTTTTCCTGGGCCTGGGTTTTTCCTGTACTACAGGTCCAGGATCCGGCCCAGGGCAATAAATCAAACCCGGAACCCAGGAACAGGCCCAGGCTTTTCAAAATTTCCGAACTCTAGTCGGGACCCATTAAATGTCTACACATAAAAAACATTTTATTTTCAAAAATATTATTTTTATTTTCTCTCCGAAAAATATTATTTTACTTTATTCCAACTTTTATTTCCAGTTATGGATTAAAGACCAATCTGATTATAAAAAATTATTATCCACATTAATCAAAAAGATTGAAGAACAAATTAAAAAAGAAATTAAATTTCCCAACGAAAAAATAATGAGAAACTTTGAATACCACAATAGCAGTAAACGAAAAGAAGTTGTGAAGAAAATTGAGCTTATGAGGAACTTAAAAATTGAAAAAGAAATAAATTCGAAAAGAGTGGTTGGGATTAAGAAAGCGAATAAAAGTAGAAGTGATGATATGTGGAGGGAATAGAAGAAATAAGAGAAAATTTAATTTGAATACAGTATAGCCTTTATTAATTGCCCTCCCTCAAATAAAACCCCACTTTCATTAATTACCCAATCCAGTAATAGATTGAAACAATAATTACCCCCAAACAAATGCCCTAAAACACGTTCAAATTTCAAGCTTCGTACCCTCACTCGATTAATTACTCCCTCCAGCGGAAGGTCGAAACAATAATTACCCAGGGTAGTTATTAAAGGATATACGGTAATTAAAGCTTTTAATTAATTTATGATTGTATATTTATTTTAAATTTGAAAATTCTAAACAATGTCTCAAGTAAATTTACACATTTTATGGGGATTCATGCGAATCCCCGTCCCAAAAATTTGTGTAAAAAAATCATTAGAATTAACGAGATTTTGTATTTATACATAAATAATTTATTAATTTAATTTTTATATATTAAGTAGCTTCTTACGGGTAAATTTTTGCACTACTTTAATATGAATTTAATTTATTAGTAGTTACCCCCAGTTAGTCTGAGGGACCTAAATATAGTCTTGAAAGTTTTAATTTTTGGTCTTGATTTTTGGGGTCTAGTCTCGAGTCTTGGAAAATTTCTGATCCTGGACATCTCTAGAAATTTTTATTATCGATAGGTGGTAATTTTAGCTAGATAAACTTATTATCTAGCTATTATCTATACAGCACAAACCCGTTTCGGAAGAACCTAAAATAAATTTTAAATAAATTTTTGTTAATTAAAATAAAATTAAAAAATGCGTTAATTTTATGCCCTAAAATTACTATTTTTCCTAAAGCTTGTTAATATATTATTTCTATATTTTTTATTCCTTCCGAAAATACATATTTTTATATTTTCAGGGAAATATAAGTATTTCCGGAAACATTTTTATATATTTTGGAAACTACATACTTAGTAGTGGTTCACGAGAACCCAAATTTTGACCGGAACCGGATCCAATTTGAGTTCCGGTTTCCGAAACGGAACCAAAAAAACGCAGGAACTTCCGGTAAAACACTAATAATTAGCATTATTTAGACAGTAATATAACCGCATTCTTCAAGGCAGTGAATATCCCAGCTTATAACCTCCACGGAGACCAGAGGTAGGGAGCTAAACAACAGAATTAAATTTTAAAATTTCAGCCAATTCCTTACATAGATTTCCACATTTTATAGGGATTCATGCGAATCCCCGTCCCAAAAATTTTATCTAAATACAAAAATTTTTATGTTTAACGTGGTTTTGTACATAATACATAAATAATTCATTAATTTAATTTTTATATATTAAGTAGTTTATTATGGGCAAAGTTTTGCAATGCTTAAATATGAATTAATTAATTTAATTTATCATTACTTCGGAACCTTATACTATTTATTCTTTTAGATTTTTTGTAAAATATAAGTTTCCGGAAAAATAGAATGTTTATTATTTTTCCGGAAACCATAGTTATATTCTTTTCCGTAACCCCCTATTTTTACTACCATAAATTTTCTAATAATTATTCTAGAATATTTTTTCACTCTTACGCTTTAGGGGAGTAATTAATAGAGTGAGGTTGGTTATATTTAGGGTTGCCGTTTTCGAGTCGGGCCGACGGTCGAGGCATTTTTTCGGGCTTGTTTATATCGAGTCAGGCCTATACGAGTCTTTTTCGGGCCAAATATCTTAGGCCCGACTCGATCTTTCTGTCCGAGTCGGGCCAGTTTGGCAACCCTAGTTATATTTAACTTGAATATGCATGAATAAAATATACATATTTACCCAAATCCTTTAAAATATTTTTACTTTTTTTTATTCCCATTTACATTTCTCCCTCGACTTGAATAAAAGCTTTTCACGTGGTGTGTCACTTTAGTGTGTCCATTGAGGTTAAAAAATGGTATCCATGAACTGAAGGAAGTTCAGTTAGTATGTACAATAGGGGTCCGGTAGCTAATGAATTAGGTCTGGACCATAAATGTGAATTAGGTCTGGGCATTGGAAATCCCCCTATCCGATATCCCAAAGGATTTCTGATGTTCTGACTTTTTTGGATCATGATATTTGGATCTGCTAACCCTATTCCGGCATGATTTTCAGCCCCATATCCGAAGATTTCAAACTATCCGAAAACCCTACTATAGTGAGTCCGGCTGAAGTTATATATTTTTAACGATAATGGCGGCGCAAAAGTCGTCCGGCGCAAAAGTCGCGGCGCAAAAGTCGCCCGGCGCAAAAGTCGCGGCGCAAACGTCGCCCGGCGCAAAAGTCGCTCGGCGCATAAGTCGCGGCGCAAAAGTCGCGGCGCAAGAGTCGCGGCGCAAATGTTCTCGGCGCAAAAGTCACGGAACCTTTCACGTGATTCACCCCAAAAATAAAATGATAGGGCAACAGCAGGTGGATGAAATGGAATGGAAAGAGAGAGATAGGGCGTTAAATAAAATTAATATATAAATTTTATTATTACAGAAACAATTGACATTAATAAACTAAAAATTTTTGATCACCCCATTCTAAACATATAAAACTGCTGGTTTGTTTATTGTGGGCTGACTAACAATTAGTATTTTCTCTCAAATACATATTTTCATTTTAAGGACAAAAATAAATATTTTGTAATTTTTTTTTGTTTTAAAAATTTATTTAGAATGATAATAGTTAAGCAACTCTGAAAAACATATAGTCAATATACCTAACTCTAATTAGTATTATTATACATTCAAGAAAACTTTCCGTAGGATACTTGCTCCGGAATATACATAACTCTTGTTATTTATAAAACTTTCCGGAAGATAAACTATTCTTTTTTTATTCCAAAAAGTTTCTCGTTGATATACTATATTCTTTTTCTGAATAAGGTTTCCTGTTGGTCTTTGAAGAATCCTTCAGATATCCGAAACCGAACCGAAAAACTGAAACAAAAATCATAGGTTTTTTGGTTCTGTTCCCAACCACAAGCCAATTTCGGGGGCTTTATTTCATCCTATTTTTCTCAAAAATTTATATACTATAACTCTTACTTCTCGTAATAAAAAATTGTTAAGTTAAGAAACTTTAAGGGTTGAATAAAAAAAATTTTTTAATAATTTGTATAAAACAATGCCACCACTTAATGTCTCAACACCTCAACAATTCAGGCAAAATGGAAAAATGACAGAAGAAGACGAAATGTTTTTAACGATGGAAGTTAATGATTTAAAAGAATTGGAAGAAAAAGCTAAAGCAGTAAAATTTATAATTGAATAAATTTTTTTGATCCTTCCGGAAGGCAATATAAAATTATTTTTATATCTCTGGAAAAGCTTAAAATTAACTCTAATAAATAATTTAATAAACTTTCCGGAAAACGATAGTTATTCTATAAAATCCGGAAAACTTTATAACTATAATATAATTTTTTCCGGAAGCATTTTTATATGCTTTCCGGTTATTCTATAGTCTATAGTAATTTTACTTCCGGAATGACGATTATATTTATTCCGGAAGAATTTTATACCTAATTTTCCGGAAACTATAGTTATATTCCTTTCGGAAGCTATGGTTATATTTCTTCCGGAAACTTTGGTTATTATAATATCTTTGGAAATTCTAGATTTATCATATTCTTTCCGGAATATTTCATGACTTTTACATTCCTTCCGAAAGATAATCATTGTTTATTGCATAACTATAAATAAATTCCAGGCCAAATTCAAAACACAAGTTGTATGGAGGAATGTTGGTCTCTATGTTTTGCTACAAACTGGTGCAACTATTGGTCTATATCAGCTGTTTTTCACTGCCAAATGGTTATCTGTTGCATGGGGTAATTTCCTATGGATTTAATCCAATCCCTCTTTCCCATCCAGTTATTATTCTTTGGATGGTTAGCGGTGTTGGAATTACTGCAGGCCCTCACCGTTTATGGTCACACAAAAGTTACAAGGCCAAAACTCCCCTAAAAATAATTCTTATGTTCATGAATTGTGTTGCCTTTCAAAACGATGTGATTGAATGGTCGCGTGACCATAGATGCCATCACAAGTGGACTGACACTGATGCTGATCCGTGAGAATTATTTTAGTATTCATGATATAATTTTATCTTTCTATCAGTCATAACATCAATAGAGGATTTTTCTTTGCCCATACTGTGCAAAAAACACCCTCTAGTAAGAGAAAAAGGAGCAACTTTAGACATGTCTGATTTGACTTCTGAGCCAGTCTTGGCTTTTCAGAGAAAGTTTGTTAAATAATTTTAGATAATAAAATGGAAGCATTAGTTGATTATTTTCTGGAATCTTCCTATTTTTGTTTTAATACCTTTTAAGAAGATACTCTGATTATTAATAATAAACTTGTTATTTTCCGGAAAAAATATAATTTTCCGGAAAGAATATAATTTTCCGGAAAAAATATAATTTTCCGGAATAATATAACTTCCGGAAAAAATATAATTTTCCGGAATGATATAACTTCCGGAAAATAAACTTTTACCGGGCAATAAACTTTTTCCGGAAAGTATTATATTTATTCTGATTATTTACTGCTATCAAAACTTACCGGAAAACTTATTTATTTATTTACCGGAAACTTAATATTCTAAATTTTAAACCTTTTCCGGAAAAATATATTCTGGTTTTTAAAACTTTATTTTTTCAGATATTACCTTCCCCTTGTATTCATTTTCTGTTTTCTTCTCCCTACAGCAACAGCTGTCTTTTTATGGGGTGAATCCGTTTGGATTGCCTTTTGCACAGCAGCATTGTTTCGTTATTGCTTGAATTTGCATGCAACTTGGTTTATTAACTCAGCGGCACATACGTAAATTAAAAAAAATTTGAATAAAAACATTTTCGACATTTCCTTCAGCTTTGGCTACAAGCCTTATGATGTCGCAATTAAGGCTACCGAGTCAATGTTGACCACTTTGACTGCTTGGGGCGAGGGAGGACACAATTATGTAAGCCTAAAAGACTCTCTCGGCCTCCTTATTTCTTTAACTTTAAGCATCACACATTCCCCCAAGACTACCGTACTTCGGAGATGCTCGGTGTCTTCAACTTTAGTCGACTCTTTATCGACTTTTTTGCTAAAATCGGATGGGCCTACGATCTTAAAACTGTGGATGAAAAGACAATTCAACGTCAAATGGGCCGACAACTTGAAAGGCTGAAAGAGGAGGAGAAGAAAAATAGTAGAGCAGCCTAAAGGAATTCAGAAAATTTTTATTTTGTTTTAGTCAGAATTGTCATTTCCATTGCTAATATGTAAGAAAATATGGTATTTAAAAATTCATTTTAATGGTATTTTAAAGAAAATACTAATATGTAAGAGTTTCCGGAAAAGATTTTTTTAATCAATCAGAACTTCTGGATATTTATATAATTATTTCCAGAATTTATTATATAATTCCCGGAAAACTATTTAATATTCCGGAAGTTATATAAAACAAACTTTCCGGAAATTGTTTATTCCTAATACCGTATACTTTCCGGAAAGATATTTTATAAATCAAAGTTTTTCCGGAAATATAAACCTTCCGGAATTATATAAATTGAATATAAACATTTTCCGGAAAGTTGGTTATATATAAAAACCTTCCGGAATTATTCAAACTTTTCTCTCCATATCTACCGTAAATATCCTAATAGAAGCCCATCCCTAATAGAAGCCCACCCGATGGGGGTATTGAGAAATATAAGCCCAGGTCTTATATTAGGATATTTATGGTATTTCCAATTTATAATACATTCCGCTTGTTTCATGAATAATCAAAGTCTGATCACAGTTTTTGCTTCAATTTAATAATTTAAAAATTGGTTAATTTAATAATTCTTCACATTAGCTGCTTGTTATCTCATTTAAATTATTTTTATTTATTCTTTCTTCTGATATATCATCATCCATCGTCCACGGCCTCGGCTCTACTCGAGCAGTAAAATTGAAAAAAGTTGTGCAGATTACTTGACTAACAGCTATTCCAATAAATATCCTATTCCACTCCTCTGCCGTTTTATTCGGTGCTAGTCTGCTTGAAACCTCTGGCAAAACTCTAAATAATTTTTTAAATTAATTTGTACCCAAAAGATACTCACAAAACTATTGCGTAACTAACAAAAGTATTCCATGAGAATATGGAAGCAGAAAATTGACGAATACTCTAAGTAAACAGAAAATATTTTTAATTAAAAATTTAATTACAAGCTGGGCGCATTTTACTGCCCCAATTTGCCATAGGCCTGAAAACGCTGCTACAGCAGTGTAACAAGCTTGAATTGCTATAGTTTGGTCTTTGGGAAGCAAAACTAGTGCTGTGAAAAGTAGAGCCATGAAATACTAAAATATAAAATATAAGAATAAAACTTTCCGGAAAACATTATATAAGTAGAATATTCCTTCCGGAAAATATTTGTTTATTAAAATACATAATATACTTTCCGGGAGACTATAAAATATAACTCTCGCCAAGACATATTTATATATAACTTTCCGGAAAAGTTTTATTTTATACATAGAATATAACTTCCGGAAAATATAAAAAAAATAAACTTTCCGGAAAGGTTTATTTAAGTAGAATAATCCTTCCGGAAAAAGTTTATTAAAAGAGTATACTTTCCGGAAGACTATAAAATATAACTCTCACTAGTAAAATATAACATTCCGGAAAAGTTTTATTAGGGAAAATATAACTTCCGAAAAATATAAAAAAAGAATAAACTTCCCGGAAACCATTTACGAAAGTATAACTTTCCGGAAATTTTTTATTTATAATCATTAAACTTTTTCCGGAAAAAAATTTCAATAATTACCTGTGATATACTTGTAAACAATATAACTCTCGTTCTCTCAGAAAGTCGTTTACCAATTTTATCGCTAATGGGTCCAGCCATAATTTTTATTGCTGCAGCAAGTAAAAAGGGAAGGGCTGCAGCAAACCCAGCATTTTTTGGGTGCATTCCTAATGCTTTACTTAAATATTGAGGACCAAGTTGATTAAAAATTTGATTGCCAAAAGTGGCTCCAAGGTTGGAAATTAAAATGCCCCAGACAACAATATCTGTCAACATTCTTAAATAAGGAACATTTCCGCTGTTCTTGTCTGCTTCAAAAATTTGTTTTTTGCCATCTCCGATTAATCGTCTTTCCAATTCGGTTGTTAAACTAGAGAAAATATTTTAGGATGATTTTGAAGTTAACAAAACAAACAAATGTTCATTAGGAGAATCTCGAAAAAATAAGCAAAATAAAATAAAGAAGAAAATTGAAACACTTCCAAATATGTGATAGACTGCTGTCCAACCAAATGTACTCTCACATAATTCACCTGCTATGGGCATAACAAGCAAAGGACCAAACTGATGAGTAAGGGAATAAATTAGTGTATATTTATTAAAGTACAATTTCCGGATTCAAAAATATCTTTCCGGAAAATGTTTATTTCAAAAATATAACTTTCCGGAAAAAGTTTATTCCAAAAATATAACTTTCCGGATAATGTTTATTCCAAAAATATAACTTTCCGGATAATGTTTATTTCAAAAATATAACTTTACGGAAAAGGTTTATTTCAAAAATACATATAATTTTCCGGAAAACGTTCATTTCAAAAATATAACTTTCCGGAAAAAGTTTATTCCAAAAATATAACTTTCCGGATAATGTTTATTTCAAAAATATAACTTTGCGGAAAAGGTTTATTTCAAAAATACATATAATTTTCCGGAAAACGTTCATTTCAAAAATATAATTTTCCGGAAAAAGTTTATACCAAAAATATTTTTCCGGAAAATGTTTATTTCAGAAATATATCTTTCCGGAAAATGTTTATACCAAAAATATAAATTTCCGGAAAATGTTTATTTCAAAAATATAACTTTCCGGAAAATGTTTATTCCAAAGATATTATTTTCCGTAAAATGTTTATTTCAAAAATATGAATCTTTCCGTAAAGCTTATTAAAATAAACAAATATTTCTCATCCTTTATAATAGCATATTTCCGGCAAATAATTTATTTAGTTTCTAAAATAAATTAGTCACCTGAAAATGACAAGAAATAAGGCAGAGAAACATTCCAGATTCGCTTAGAGGTGCCCATTCTTCGCTTATAGTGCCTTTAAATTAAACATAAGAATGCTTTATAAAATTAGAAATTAACTCATTGCAACGTATGAAGTTGCAACACCGAATCCTTGAACAACTCGAACAGCTAATAATGTCCAAAATCCCAGAGTGCTAGCAAAAGGTACTAAAAGAGTAGCTAATGAACTAAGCATGCCATAAACTGTGACCATCCATCTATTAAAAATTTATATTTATTATTTTATTCCGGAAATATAAATTATCCGGAAAGTGTGTTAATTAGCTTAGAACATCTATTTTTATAAAAAAAAGCTAACCTCTGATATAAATATAAATTTTATATCAGTGTGTCCCTTGACGAATTACTAGGTAAAAATGGGACAAAGTAATGGCAATAGTGAAAAAGTGGAAAAAATGGGACTAGAAGGTCAAAAAGGGGGAAATACCCCTAAGAAGGTGTAAAAGGGGGCCCATAATTAAGCTCGCTATAATATGTTTTCGGAAGGTTGATTATTATAAAAATTTTTTATTAATTTTCTTATATTTGAACATTTTCCGGAAAGCTTATTATTAATAACACCTTTCAAGAATTATTTAACTTAAAAATTATTTCAATAACCGAATGCCCAGTTTTTCTGTTATCCACGTAATGGGTAATGTTCCCAGCAGCGTACCCACAGCAACAACAGACAACAGCCAGTCTTTCTGCCATTTAGTATCTTCTGAATTTAAATGCTCTTTTAACGGTTCACGTTTCTTTTGGATTTTAGGCAGGCTGGTGACTGACTCTGTATTGTCCTCTTCCATACAAATCAACTGATTTTTTAATTTAAAAATTTTTTTGAAAAACCGAGAGAATTTTTTACCGTAAAATTAAAAGCTAAAGAGCTCCCAACAGTTAAGGAAAGACAAATTGTGGAGAGTGCCAAGATTAAAAATCTAACATAATTAAATGTGTAGTATAATCTTTTGTCGTTCTTAAGTGTATTTAGTGAGGTTTGCTGGCTTGGAGCAATTTTAGGGGTAGAAAAAGGTAATTGATGAATAGTTGTTGGCATTGTTTTAGGTATATTATGAATAACGTAAGTGAGTAATTCTGCTTTCGGAAAGGTTTAATTAAGAAAAATATTTACTAGGCTATATTTTAAGGGGGAGTTTATATTATATATTCCGGAAAACTATTTTCGGAAAAGGCTGTAGTTTAGTATACCGGAGTTTTAGTTCCATCATAAGACCTATACCATTCGATTCGTCTCGGCGAGCTGAGTCGAATGGTACCACTCTCCAGGCGCGGAGATGCCTGTGGGCCGAGATATAGCTCCCCGAAAATCGAAAAACCATAGGGGGGAGTAAGCACAATTTTGGAGTGAAAAATTCGATTTTTCGAGTGATAGCTCATTTGAAAGAGCTCCTCGAGCTGAGTCGAATGACACCAAAATCAGCTCGATATCTGATTAGATTTGACAAAGTTATGATTGTTTGTTTTAGCTCCTTACCTATGGCATCCGTGGAGTTTATGTTGCTGCGAAGGAAGCCGGGCGGCCCACCTCATCGATTATAGGAATAGGATTAAGTTACGAGCCCAGACCCAGAGCCCGTAGACTCCCCGCGAGGCGCGTGCCGCAAAACTCCGCGCGAAGCGCGGAGTTTTGCACAAGCGCCTCGCCTACGCCCCATAGGTTTACGTTGACCATTTTGAGCCTGTTTATCTTGACTCAATATCAAGATATCGAGCTGATTTTGGTGTCATTCGACTCAGCTCGAGGAGCTCTTTCAAATGAGCTATCACTCGAAAAATCGAATTTTTCACTCCAAAATTGTGCTTACTCCCCCCTATGGTTTTTCGATTTTCGGGGACCTATATCTCGGCCTACAGGCATCTCCGCGCTTGGAGAGTGGTACCGTTCGACTCAGCTCGCCGAGACGAATAGAATGGTATAGGTCTTATGATGGAACTAAAACTCCGGTATACTAAACTATATCCTCGGAAAAGAAGAATAACTCTAAAAAAATGTTTTCCGGAAAAATAGAATCTAAAAATTAATAGCTTCCGGAAAGGTTTACTTCAAAAATAACCTTTCCGGAAAATATAACTCTAAAAAATAATTATATTCCGGAAAATAGAATCTGAAAATTAATAGACTTCCGGAAAGATTTAATTGTACAAATAACCTTTCCGGAAATGTATAACTCTAAAAAATAATTGTATTCCGGAAAAAATAACTCTTAAAAGTAATTTTATTTTTTCCGGAACCTATTCTTCCGGAAAAGTTTAATGTTGATAATAATAATAATTATATTTTCCGGAAGATATATAACTCTAAAAAATAATTAGTTTCCGGAAAAATAGAATCTGAAAACTAATGGACTTCCGAAAAGGGTTTAATTCTAAAAATAACCTTTCCGGTAATGTATAACTCTAAAAAATGATTATTTTCCGGAAGTTTAATTATATACTTTATAAATCGATTCACCTATTCTAAAATTTAAAAAAACTGGAGGAAAATTAAATTATATATATTAAGGTTATAAGGAGTATTTTAGCTATTTAAAAAATGACAAAATTCCTCGGAAAGGAGGATGACAAATATTTATTTGCTTCTTTAAATTGCAATTTTTGCTACCAGATTATTAGTCATTTTCTGTTTATTTAAAATCATTAAACAAGTATTTTTTGGTTAATTTTGTTGTCAAAAAAATTTTATTTATGAGGTAAATTCTTTAAGTATTTTCTAGGTCAAATTTTTGATTTTAATCAATTTAACTAGAAAAAATGCAAAATGATATTAATCATTAAAAAAGAATATCGGATTTCAGTTATTTTTGAAAATTGCGCGAGGTCACTGCGCAATGATGGTCAGTTATTATTAAACGTTCTGCTTAATCGATAAGAACAATTAGTAAGAATAGAAACCGTTCAGAAATAATTATGGATAGATATACTATGGATTTAATTAATCTTTTAAAATATAAAATTCCGGAAGTAAAATTTGAATAGATCCATCCGTCGTATGTAATAAAATGTATATAAATAAAATTTAAGAATTTTCACTTTATGGGAATTAAAAATGACGCGTTTTAGTGATAAAAATATTGTAAAATAATTAAACTTTCCGGAAAAGTATAAGTATAAATATAATTGTATTGATTCCGGAAAACTACAGATATATTTCTGGAGAAAATTATTGTTATATTTATAATTGTTAGAATTTCCGGAAACTAATTAAAATGAGATTTCCGGAAGTTATAAAAAGAAATACTTAAACTTTCCGGAAAGGTATAACTATAAATATAAACAATATAATCTCTTATATTTTTTCTTATACAAAATAAACTTTATATAAACTTTATTTACAAATAAAATAAACTTTCCGGATATATTATAATATTATTAATTATTTTATTTAAAAGGGAAAATTGATTATCTTTCAGGTTTTCTTTTCCCAGTAGTTTTGAAGAATATCAAAATGTGCATCTCTGATTAGTTCATTAACTGATTTTGCGTCGGAGACACGGGCAGTTCGATTGGAGGAAAAAGAGGAAGATAAAGAGCCGTTGACTGTGTTGATATGCAAGTTTTTATTTTGCTTGGTAACGGCTCTTTCCGTTGCCGAAACTTCAATGCCAAAGAGAGAAAGTAGTGAAAGTCGGATGGATTTCTATAAAAAATAATTTTTTAAAAATCAGACAAAAATTTTCAAAAGAATCAGAATTTTAATCAGAAAATTAGCTTACATGTCCCAAAAGTGTGCTCAAAAGTGCCAAGGTTTGAGGGAAAAGAGCCAAAAATTCCTCGAGTGGTCCAAAGTGTTCAACAGAATAATTAACATTAAAGAAGAGAGTTCTGCTTTCCTCATCGTTAAAAGTGTGTAATAAAATTTGAATAAAAGTGGAGGCAGCCAATAGAAAGACAAAAAATAGGCAGAAGCGCAAAGTGCGGCAATTTTCTCTAAGTTGGTAACGACAAGAAATTGAATTTTGAGAAGACTTTTGATTTTGTACGGATAATTTTGAGTTCCAAAAAAGAAGGGAAAATACAGGGATAATTATTGAACTTTGAGGTAATATAATTTGGAGATTGTTAAATATTGTATGTTGAAGTGATGAAATGTTTTGAGGGTTATTTTCTTTGTAAGTAAGTTTAAAACGAACGATGCTGAATAAAAGTGCTGTTATCAACTATAAAATAAGGAAAAATAATTTAAAATTCCGGAAAAAGTATAACTCTAAATAAAATAATAATAAGTAGAATAGAACTTTCCGGAAAACTTTCTGGAAAGTATAACTCTAAACTTTCCGGAAAACTTATAACTCTAAAGTTCCGGAAAACTTCCCGGAAAGTATAACTCTAACGTTTCCGGAAAACTTCTGGAAAGTATAACTCTAAACTTTCCGGAAAACTTTCCGGAAAGTATAACTCTAAATAAATAAAAATAAATAGAATAAAACTTTCCGGAAAACATTGTGGAAGTTATAACTCTAAACTTTCCGGAAAACTTTCTAGAAAGCATAATTTAAAACTTTTAGGACAACTTTCCGGAAAAAATACGTATAACTAAAAATATAATACTAAAAATTAGTATAAAACTTTCCGGAAGAACTATAACCGGAAGAATTATAATAACATTCCTAAGTGTTCATTTTAGTAGATAAATAAACCATTCGGAAAAGAAATCAGTTATATATATTAAACTTTCCGGAAAAATTATAACTCTCAAAAATAGACATGAAATTCACCTGTATTGCCAAAATACCAATTCCAACAAAACGTAAATGCTTATTCTTTTCATAATATTTATAAAACAATGTAGAAATTAGCTTTTCAAGCCCAATAGTAATTGGAAGGGAATTAATGAAAAAGTTGGCAAAAAATGATGGATAATAAACAGCAATTTCCATAAATCTAGGCGGATTCTCGCTAATTACCTAAAAATTGTTTGATAAATTTAAAAAGCCTCAAAAATTTTTTACCATTAAAAGAAGACAAATTCTAGAAGCCAGGCTTAATATAACCGATAAAGGAACGACTGTCAACAAAATACGGGTATTCAGGTGCAAAAGACGTTTGGTTTTGTAGAGTATTATTATTAGCAATAAAATTAGGGGAAGTAAAAATATGGCAAATAAAAATAAGCAAATTGAAGTTGGAATTATTTTTGATGATAATTCGGGAATATTATTAGTTGTGTTGTTATTCATTATTATTTATTAGTTTTTATTAAAGCTTAAAAAATAAATTATTAGTAAAAAATTTCGGAAGGTTTATAAGAAATTATGAATATAATTAATTATTAAAAAAAGAAAAGAAGTTTTCCGGAATTTTATAATTTTCCAGAAAGTTTCCCTTCTTGTGTGTATGTTTACTAAATAAGGTAATATTTTGCCTGATTTATCATATATCATTCAAAATAACAATGAAGCTGAAACCTCTCCTGATCAAAAGTAAAGGGCATTTCATTAATGTCAGAGCTCTTTCGAATGATAAAAAAATCTATAAAATGGAGGGAAAAAATAGGAAGGTATTATCAAAATAGGGGTATTTATTATCTTCCAACGTACATTTTAGCCTAAATACTTTCCCGTATGGTTTATAAAATTATTTGATATTCTGACTTATTTAATAGACAATATATTTAATTAAAATTGAGTTTATATAATTATAATTTTAAACTTTATTATATCATTCGACACGTTTGACGTATGTAATATGTACATAATAAATTGTAGTATTATATCTAATGATATTTAATTTGCAAATTTAAAAATTTAAAAAATTATAAGCCAAATTCAACTTTAATAATGAATTATCTGCAGTAGGAGTTACACGCAAAAATACAATTAAAAATGAAATAGATATTTATAATAATTATTTTAATTAAAAGAATTATGAAAATAAAAGAAATTAAACAAAGAAATAATTATTGGAATTTAATTAAAAATAAATTTTTAATATTTTATAATAAAAAACAATAGGGAGAATATTCTAAAAATAGAAAATATAATCAGAAATGAATAAACAAAGAGAAAATAAATTGAAATAAACAGAATAAGAATTATATTAAAATCAGAATTAAAAAATAGTCAAATATAGAAGATGAATATAATAAAGTTTTCCGGAAAGTTTAATAAATATAATTATTCTGATTTATTTAGTAGAACTATAATTAAATAGACCTGAATAAAAAATCAGAATTTATAAATCAGAATTTACAAACCAGAATTTAAAATCAGAATTTAAAAATCAGAATTTAGAAACCAGAATTTAATAAACAGAATAAAAAAATCAGAATTTAAAAGCAGAATTTAAAATTAGAATTTAAAAACCAGAATAATCAGTATAAACTTTTCCGGAAAGTTTTATTTTTAATTTTCTGATTTTTAAATTCTGATTTCTATATTCATTGTTTATTTATGTATAATTAGATTTTCTAAGAGAATTAATTTAAATAGACAAATAAAGCTCTAATGACGCAAATGCTTTTAATATTTAAAAGAAAAGGTGTGTTTAATAAAAAAATTTCCTTTTGTCCCCAATCTCACGCATTAAAAATAAAAGAAAGGCCCAAATATGGTTTAATATCTCAGGAAAATAAATTGAATTATTTATTTGTTGGAAATGGCAGGTGACTTGGTTATCGTCATTCTTTTATAAATACGTTTTGGTTGGAATTATTTTTAAAAATAAATAAATTCAATTTTAAGCTAAAAATAATAATGGAAACAATATGAGTGTTAAAACATGAATCAAAATAAACATCATTAGAAATTAAAAACCAAAATTTAATTTTTAAATCTTGAAACTTTTAAATAATAAAAACTAATAAACGTTGCCGAATAGAAAATGGCAAAAATGGCCATCTGAATCAGAGGTGCACAAAAATTTTAGTTTCGTTTCGTATTTTGTAGATTTTCGTGGATTTTTGATGAATTTCGTTTCGTTTCGTGTTTCGTTTGAAAATATTTTTTCGTTTCTTGTTTCCCATAATCCATACAACCACATATGTAATCATCGGTATCTACCAAATTTTTCATATCTTGATACTTCGAAATCAAATTATATCCCAATTAATCCTTCCAAATCCCCTTTAATTCCTCGGTTCTATTGAACATTTTAACTTAATCGAAATGCGATCGGTAAAGTTTTTAAGATTTTAAAACGTATTGTGGCACCTGAAGTTAAACTTGAAGTCAAACATATGAGTCAGAATTTTATAATAACTCGTTAAAGTGGCACCTACCCTCGTTTACAAAATAAAAAAATATTTTAAATATTTAATTTTTTTACTTAAAATGTAAAAATAGTTTATATGCATAACCGTACAAATTATAAAAATTTTAATCTCTTTTTAATTCACTCCTCTATCATCAATTTCAATATTATAACGCAACTGTTTAGCCGAAAACCAAGAATAATAATTGTCAAATTCGATTATATCTGTGAAAAAAAAATTGGTGAAAAATAATTTTTAAAGGCTTAAAAAATTTAAGTGCCCTTATATTTTTTCTTAGATTGTTCTTATGTCTTTGGGATGCTCCAAAGACATAAGATTAACCTTAAATTTTCTTATATTATCCTTAATTCCAGACTTGGTAACGGACACGAATTCTGATATTTCCGGATATTTACGGCGGATACAGGCGGATATCCGCAGGCACTTTGAAATTATCTGTATCCATGTCCGTATCGATTACCATGTTTGCTTAATTCTGTTCTTAGATTGTCCTTATATTTTCATATATTTTCTTAAATGTCTTTATATTTTCATAGATTTAGGATTCCCTTAAATGTCCTACTTTCTTAGATTGTTCCTAGATTGCTGAAAAATGCCCTTAGACTTTTAGGTTGCCCTTAGTTCTGTTCTTATGTCTCCATGTCCTTATATTATCATTGTTATATTTTTCCTTTAAAAAATTATCCCCTACATCTTCCAGTCTGTTCACAAAGCATAGATCCAGAAATAGGAACTAACGAGCATTCCAAGCGAATATACCTACAAAAAGCGATTAAAGAAGAATAATTTTTTAAATTACGGGTAAACACATTCCATTTCAGCCAAATTATTTGCTGTCCCAGAAGAATCAAAATAAACGGCAAATCCAATATCCTCTTCTTCTGTCATATATTGCCAACTTTAAATTGGACATTTTAGAAAGAAAATTTTCCTTGTATTTTGTCACTTTAAAAAAATTCCCTCTGACCTTAGTAATTTAAATTTAGGGATATCCAGTTAAATGTGCTTATATGCATATTTTTCTTAGAATTTTTATTTTCGTCTTGGAATTCTTATATTTATAAATAGATATGTAAAATCTTATATATACATATGTGTCCTTAATTTTTTATAAGGTAAAACCGATACATATCGAATAGAGCCCGGATTAGATATGTCGGCCCCTCTGTCCGGACTCTAATATCTAAGTAAGAGGGGAGGATACGGATATCCGAAGCTTTCCTAGATCCTCTTGCAATTCCCGATTTCCGAGAAGACCGGGAATTGATTTTTTGTCGGCTCGTTCTCTTATACATATGCCTCTTTATGATACTGTAATTTGTCTATCTCCGCAGGCAATTTAAAATTGGCCTAAAGCTGCCGATATTAATGTAAACTTTCCCCCAAAATTTTATTTAAACCCATGCCCTATCGCCTTAAAGTCTTTTTTCTCTATTTAGGTTTCAATTTTCCAATATTTGTGACCTCTAATCATTCACTACTCAAAAAACGTAAATCTTGACTTGAGGGCATAAATCACCTCAAAATTTATTTTTTATTTTGACCTTGTTTTTTTTCTCTTATCCACCTTCAAAAACACCCCCAACTACTCACCTTATTCTAGTATTAGCCTTCACTCTCAACTCAATTAGATGTTTATCACCTGCATACACTGTAGTTAGTTGATCGTAATCAGTCATTACTGTTGACTGGTCAACATAATAGGAGTCAGGGACGGGCCCAAGGCCGTAACGAACTTTTGAGGGGCATCTGTTTAAAAATTGAGAGAAAATTAAAAAAAAATCAGAAAAATATTAAGCTACTTTGGATCTCCATTCTCGCACATTCTGCCTCCCCAATGGACTGGCCAAGCATCGAGATCCTTTAAAATAAATTTTAGGGTAGTTCTAATGGTAATTCGAATGGTAATTCTGATTTTTCAATTTAAAGGATTTAATGTTATGAATGTCAACAATCAAAATTCTGAAAATAATTCTGATTTTAAAATCAGAAAATTAGAATTATAGCATGACAAGAATACTATAATTCTGATAAAACATAATCGTAAAAGTAATTCTGATTTCATAAGGAAAAATTCTGATTTCGTAAGGAAAAATTCTGATTCGATTCAGAAATAGCAAATCAGAATTCTGAAAATAATTTTGATCACAAAATCAGAGTTCTTAAAATGTTCCGTTTTTATAAGGAAGAATTCTGATTTAATTCAGAATAAATAGATCAGAATTCTGATAGTATTTCTGATTTTAAAAGATAATTCTGATAAAAATTCTGATTTTTATAAATAATACTGAGTTATCAGAATGATAGTGTATAATATGTATACCTAATATTAATAACTCCAAAATCAGAATAATGATTGTGAATTTTAAGGAAAAGTTCTGATTTAATTTTGAAATAAACGGAACAGAATTTTGATAATAATTCTGATTTTCAAACCAAAATTCTGATTTTAAAATTTCCATAATATTTCTTTAATCCCATTCTCTCCTCAACTAACCACATATTCACTCAACGCCATTTTCCAATCCTCCTCTGACGGGATTTCAATTAATTTTTGGGTTGCTTCAGAGAGGAAAGGTGTCATTGAATTAAAAGCAATTCTGGCCATTTCTGGTGCTCTAATAATCAAAATTTTTCTTAAAACAAGTGGATAGTGTTCTTGAAATAGCATAATTAAGGTTGTGAAGGAAGAAGCAAATTGTTTGGATGAATAATGGGCAGATGTTATGTGGTCTAAATCGAAGACGAGCATCTGTAATGTTTTAATTAAATCAGAATATTTTTCAGAATTTAAGAGAAAATCAGAATAAGCTAATTCTGATTTTGGAAAATAAATTCTGTAGTTATAGTTTATTTTAAATCAGAAAAGAACTTAAATAAATTCTGATATGTAAAAATCAGAATAAATTTCAGAAATTCTGATTTCCAAAGAAATCAGAGCAATTCTGGTTCTCATAAATTCTGATTTATTCTGATTTCAGAAATTCTGAATTAAAAAACAGAATTGTTCTGATTCAGAATTTTGGTTTTATCAGAACACAATAATTCTGATTTTCACAGTCTGATAGAAAATCAGAATAATTCTGATTATCAAAAATTATGATTTCTTCAAATCATAAATTATTTTCTGATTTTACCATCTGCTCAAAAGCAAGTCCAGATTCCTGAGCCCGTTGTCTACACAAAGCTATACCCTTTTCTATGGCAGCAAGTGAAAATTTAATGTAATCTTTTGATTGAACTGATCGGAGCATCCCCTCAACATCCATATTGCCCAGAAGGGACATTAAAATTGGGTTGCCAGATCTATCTCCCAGAAATCCATATCCACAGTATTTCTCGAGGATCTAAACTTGAAATTTTTTTAACCCTTCAAAAAATTCAATAGAAGCTAATAGACTCATACAGACTGTGATGTTCACAAAAAACTTCAATAATGGGACCATAATGGTCAGAAACACAAATGACTCTTAAATAGGTCTCAAATAGGGCATGTTATATGCAAAAACTCAACGAATGTTCGGACTCAGATAGGGTCCATACTCGAAGAAATGTGACTTCTATTAGGGTTGTTCCCCAACCTCGAAAGTCGGGGAGAGATTTTTTGAAGATTCCACGCCCCCCCCCCCCTCCTAGTGAAAAAAGAATTTTCCCATCCCCTCCCCCGTGGTGCTGCCTCCGAAAAGTTAATTCTGAAAATTCTGGTTTCATGAAAATCAGAATCTTTCTGATTTTTCTTATTTTCAGTGAGTTCTAAAGACCCTTAATATTTACCCAATTGATCTTCAGAAAGGTGACCTTATGGATCATCAATTAATTTTTTCTTCTCTCCCCTATCATTTAACTTTTTATCTCAGAGCAAAAGTCGTTTGATAAATTAAGAATTTTTTTTACTATTTCCCTTTAATGGCCACAAAATAAATAAACTTTTTCCTTTCAATTTTAAACCTGTTTGTGGACACAAAATAATAACGCGCATAAACCGTTAAATTTAATTAATTAAAATAAGTGATATAGTGTAAAGGTGAGTCAGCCTAATTGAAACAAGTAAACAATATAAAGAATGTTTCTAGTTGTTTGGTAACTTTTTGATGGAAACTTTGAGGTCTTTGACATTTTGAAAAAAAATTTTGAGGTTGGGTAAAATTGAACTTCGTACCCCCCCCCCCCCTTCTCCTTCTTTTTTTCCTCCAGAAAGTGGAAAAATGGCCAATCTTAAACCGTGTTACCAACTTTGCTCTGTGACAATAAGTACCCAGTTCTGTTATTTAGGACCTATTACCGTACATTCTGAATATTTTTTGGATTTTAACGCCTATAAGGATTTTTTGATTAAACCATCCCAATTTTCCAAAAATAAAAAAATAGCCCCACCTCGGGTGCCGTCCAATTTGCAATTTTGTCAAGTCCCCAAGCCTTTCGAAACACTAGATCTTTTTTCACTCCCTTAAATTAATTTAAATTATTTTTTTACATTTCCTCAACACTCAAGCCTTCCTATATTATACCCTCTTGGGGCGGAAAATCGTACCTTATAATAAGGGCTGTGAGCCAAAATTATCGTGTAGCGCATCAAACACCACCCTGCTTATAATAAGGGGTACCTTTAAACGGGGATTTTGATTGGAGGAGGTTGCAAAGTTAATTGTATCTTAAATTGAGGTTTATCTAATATTGAGGGTATCTTATAATGAGGTTTTGACCAAGGCTGTTTCGATTTTCGAGTTTTTTTTCTTTCGACTTTCCAATTTACTTTGAAACAGCTTTTATCTTGTCTGTATCAGGGCTGTGCGCCGAAATTTTCGCGTGGCGTGCCAAACGCCAATTTTTCAAATTTTAAAAACACGCCAAACGCAAAACGCCAAAAATCGGCCAAAAATGGACACCAAAACGTCATGACGCACAGCCCTGGTCTGTATAGAAAAAACAATAAAAACCAACATCGGCAGTTTCATCAAAACGTCCCTCTTTTGAACGTAGCCATCTCAACAAATAGCCATCATCCACATCTCTATTTGTGTGTTTAGCTAATTGGGGGGCTAATATTTTCCTCAAATCATTTAATTGACAAATTTCGACTTCGTTTGGAAGTCGGCACAATTCCTCCTCTGATTTTCGTTTTTTGGGAGAAATGCTTAAATTTAATATTTTTTCTTCTTGTTGTTGAGAACCACATTCTGAAGGTGGTTTTTGTTCTGCTAAAATACTGGCTGAATGAATTTTGCTTTTAGGCATTTTTTGGTAGTGGAAGTAATTATTTAATTATTAAATCTGAAGAAAAATCAGAATTAAATTGGTATATAAAATCAGAACAAATAAATTATTTTAAAAATCAGAACAAATAAATTTTAAAAATCAGAACAAATAAATTTTAAAAATCAGAACAGAATAAACTTTAAAAAATCAGAACAAATACGTCTTAAAATCAGAATTAAAAACAGAATATAAATTAAAATCAGAGTTTTTTTGAAAAATCAGAATTTCTATATCAGTATATTATAGGAAATCAGAATTAAACTGTTACAACTTTATAAAATAATCAGAATCAAAATCAGAATTTTGAAACATCAGAATATTTAACGCTAGGTTTAAAAAGTCAGAATTATTCAGAATTTAGAAAGCAGAATATAATATCAGAATTTAATAAAAAATCAGAATTATAAAAAATCAGAATTAAAAATCAGAAATATAAAAATAATAAAATCAGAAAAAATAGAAATAAATAAAACCAAATGAAATCAGAATTTCACATTTATTTCAGAATTAATTTAATATTTCTTCGTTAAAATAGGATTTATTAAAGGTAGGAATAATAAATAAAAATCTAAAAATATTTTAAATAAATGCGAGAAAAGTTAAACAAATCAGAACATTAAAAATAAATAAAAAGGTCTTTCAAACAAACATACACTGCCTGCACCTTTCCGTATTTAACACACTCACCTCCCCCTATTTTTTCGTTGCTCTCCCCGTCACACATCGGTCACCGAATAAAAACGGCAGGAAAGGATAAAAGTAGTAAATAAAAACTAAACCCAGAAGATCGAGAATAAACGATCAATTAAAGGTAAACGTGAGAGAAATCAGAAATAAAAAATCAGAACAAATCAGAAAATAAAATGAAAGCAGAAGTAAGATCAGAAGAGATCAGAACTAAAAATCAGAATTTTAATATACAGAAATCAGAATAACCAATGTCCAAGAAGCAAAAAATATGCTTGATAAACATGCTTAAGAAGATGTTATTGAAGCATGCTAATTTTTAAAAATATGTTTTTAGAATGCTTCAGAAAAATATTCCAGAAGCTTGATACTAGAAACATGCGTTTCATTACTGATTTCAGAAGCATGTTTCATATTAACAACTAAAACCTGATATTAGAATCTCGTTAAAATAAATAAAAATCAGAATTAAAAAAATAAAAATCAGAATTTTTTCAGAATTTCTGAAATTTTTCAGAATTTTTTTGACAAAAATCAGAACTTTTCAGAATTTCCAAAAATCAGAATAAATCAGAAAATCAGAATTAAATCAGAATTTCTGTTGATCAGAATTTCTGTTTTCTGAAGCATGCTTCTGCTTGCTTCAGAAAAATTAGAAGCATGCTTCCAATTTTTTGTTTCACAAATTCAGAAGCATGCTTCAAAAAAATTTTAAATACCAAGTGATTTCATATCTTTTTAGGTGTTTATCTTCTGGAATAAAAATAAATATTTTTATTTATTAGTATCTGTCAATGTTCTCTCTCTTGGGGAGAGCCGCCGTTGATGTGTGAGTGTGTAAAGTCACCGATGCAAAAAAGGAAAATAATAAAAAAAAAAAAGGGGGGGGGGGATACATTAAATATTGTTTTGTTATAAATTAATTTATTGACAATGCACTTTATTTTAATTTAAAAAGTAGAGTGGCATTGCGCAAAAAATATTAATGCGGAACTAAATGATAATAAATGAAAGTTCTTTGGGTAAAGGTAAAAAGGGAGACAAAGGAAGAATAATAAACCGGAATATTAAAATCAGAATTTAAACAAATATAAATAGAAAATTAAAATCAGAATTAAAGTTTAATTCAGAATTTTAAAAATCAGAATTTAATATTTAAAAGTGAATCAGAATTTTAAAAATCAGAATTTAATAGTTAAAAGTGAATCAGAATTTTAAAAATCAGAATTTAATAGTTAAAAGTGAATCAGAATTTTAAAAATCAGAATTTAATAGTTAAAAGTGAATCAGAATTTTAAAAATCAGAATTTAATTCAGAATTTAAAAATCAGAAGTTTAAAAATCAGAATTTAATTCAGAATTTAAAAATCAGAATTTTAAAAATCAGAATTTAATTCAGAATTAAAAAATCAGAATTTTAAAAATCAGAATTTAATTCAGAATTAAAAAATCAGAATTAAATTCAGAATTTAAAAATCAGAATTTAATTCAGAATTTAAAAATCAGAATTTAATTCAGAATTAAAAAATCAGAATTAAATTCAGAATTTAAAAAACCAGAATTTCAACTTGAATAAATTGTAAGTTGCAATTGTAATTCTAGACTTATTAAATATATTAATTCAAAAATAAATTACCAAATAAGAATTCTAATTAAAGTTAGTCACGTTTTATTCCCTTTTAAATACAGCAAATTAATAAACTTTGCCCCTCTAAGCTGACTAATTTTTTAAAATAAATTATATTTTCTTTGATTAATTTGTGGGGGGATCACCTGCTTTTATTTAATGTTTTTTTGTTATTAATGTAAAATGACTAATAAATTTATTTTTTAGAGTAAAAAAGAAGCGTTGTGGAATTGGTTGATTGGGACATTAAAAAATTAAATGAGAGAAGAGAAGAATTAGGCGAGCGCGAAAAAAGCTGACTGAGAATGGATGGGAAATGGAAAGAAATGCGCAGAAAAAAATAATTGGGAAAGGCCATTTGATATTAAAAAATATAAGAGACAAAAGATCAACTAAAATTTTTAAAAATACATATATTTTTGAGGGAGTCTGGTGATTTATTTGGGTGGTGACCTTCTGGATTTTTTAAATTTAAATTCTGATTTCTGATTTAACGATTTTTGTTTCTGATTTTTATTTTTTCCGTTATTCTGATTTGTGTGTTTTAAAATTCTGATATTCTGGTATTGAAATTCTGATATTTAATTTTGATATTCTGGATTTGAATTCTGACATTCTGATTTAATATTCTGATTCTGATTTTTTGCCTCTAATTCTGATATTCTGACTATAATTTTTAATTCTGATTTTTCTTGATTTTTTATTCTGATATGATTTTAAGTTTAATTCTGATGTTCTGATTATATCTTCTGATTTTTTATTCTGATTTCTTGTTCCATATTCTGATTTTTGTCCATCTCAGCTTGATTATCTATTTGTTGATATTCTGGGTTATTTAAATTAAAATTGGTCTTCTGGGTGGTATTCACCTATAAATAGGGTAGCTCGGTCAGTGTGAAGGACAACAATATAACACGGTCGATTGTTTGAACGGATTGATGAAAAATAAGAGATTTTACAATGAGAACGGAAAAGGAATAACAAATAAATATATTTCAGGTAGTTGATTTGGATCAAAATATGGAACAAATATTTATCTAAAAATTTTAATCTTTTAATCCAAAGAGGTGTTCCATTAGGGGATTATCCTGTTTATTTTTTTTCTTCCGAATTTTTTCCCTAAATAAAACAATCAAATAGACCCCACAAATTTAAGTTATCGATAAAAAATCTATACAAAATATCCGCAAAAAATGTCCGCAAAAAATAGTCCGCAAAAAACGTCCGCAAAAAATAGTCCGCAAAAAATATCCACAAAAAAAGTCCGCAAAAATTGTCTTCAAGGAATGATCGTAAAAAAGTCATTAAAAATTGTCCGCAAATTTTAGCGGACATTTTGTATAACTCTAATTTACGGAAACCCAATATTTGAGTATCTCGGTTTGTACAATTCAACAATCATTAAAATTAATTTACAAAATATTTTGTACTTTTGTTCTACTTTTGTTCTCCTATTATCTATTCATTCCATAAATAACAACACCCTCACAGTTAGTGCCAGTCTGTACCACCACCCTTAACTTCCTAACATTAAACAAACAAAATATTTAAAATTAAAAAGTAAACTGCAAAAAATGATAACAAAAAATGAATAAAATTTTTAAAATACGAAATTTCGCAAAAAAATTCTAAAAAAGGCGAAATTTCGTAAAAAAACGAAATTTCGAAAAAATCACGAAATTTCGTAAAATGCCGAAAAAAAATTCGGCAAATTCGCGATATTAATTTTTAACAACCATTGTTAGATAATTTTATAAACTAAAAAATATCGTACAAAAATAAATAATTAAATTGTATGTTATACCCGGAATCGAAGCTAAACTGAAGCTTAATCAGAAATTTTCAAAATATGCGGAAATTTTCAAAAATAAAAAGAAAATCTAAAAATTTCTTTAAAATTTTTCTAGGTTTTGAAATATATTTTTTTAAGTTTTAGACTTTGTGTCAATTAAGTTTCAGTCAAATAAATATAAAAATACAAAAAAAATTAGCCGTCTAAAAAGGTCCGCGAAAATATTTGCGGACAAAAATTTTTGTCCGCAATTTTTTGCGGACATGTCTACATGACTACGATTAAGCATTAATTTATTCAAATGAATTCCACAAATTCTGTCCCAAATCCAAATTGATATTGTAAACGTTTGAAGACGACGAGGACATTTGATGATGAAACTCGATTGGAATTGGATTGTTTTGTTCAGTCTCTAATGGGCATATAAAGCTGGAATGTCGTAAAACATGTGAGGAGCATTGCGGATTTTTAAATAATGCTTGTGGTTGTAGTTGATTTGAGAAAATTGTGTTGTGTTGATAATTGTGTTGTTTTGGTTGTTGTTGATACTCCAAGGGCAATTCTTCGTTTATCGAGTTTTCTAAAAATTTGATTTTGTCTCAATTTTATTAGTCAGCCCTCTCTCTCCAGAGGTGTCCCTCTCCACTTCTTCCCGACAAAAAATTTTTCGAAAATTTTAATCTATAAGTATTGCTTTCTTAAGTAATTTAATTTTTAGAGCGTTGATCAAATGGGTTGAGCCGGTAACCTTTTTTACAAATCAACTTGTAAACTTTTGTAAACGTATTTGTAAAATATTTACAATTAGTTTTAAAACTTATTTAAAAACTTTTTCTCACACTTAAAACTTATTCACAATTAAAACTTGAAACATTTTACAATTAACCTTAGGTACTTCTAAACTTGAAACAAACTTTTTTACAACAAGTTTTACAACTTAAACATAACCAACTTTAAAACTTTTTACAATTTGTAAAACTTTTTTTAAAAACATTTAATAAAACTTGCTTCTTTCTACAAATTGTAATTGTGTTTCTCTTCCAAGTTTTCTCTCATATTCAGCCAATAAATTAGCCTGTTGATTTATTATGAGTTTTAAACGAGCATTTTCTTCTTCCAATTGTTGTTGGTTTTTTAAACGTCTAGCTCTACAATTGAGGGCATAACCCCGATTTTTTAATGTTCGACGCTTTTGTTTTAGTGCTGAAACTATGGAGCGGTCTTGACCCTGAAGGCATTTTTTATTAAAAATATTTTAGTAAAGTTTTAAAGCCTCTGTTTTACGCACACCCTTCAGGCAATGTGGGTGTGAGAAAACCTCACCTCAAAAACTCAAAAAAGAAAACCTCACCTCACACCCTCACCCCACACCCACAGGCTATAAATTACCCTTATAATTAGTGTTCGGCACGGTACGGTATACCGCGGTATTTTTCCCGGTATACCGCGGTATTTTTTTCCGGTATACCGATACCGTACCGGTCAAATTTTGAAAAAAACGGTATTTTTCGGTATCGGTATTTTTTCGGTATACCGATACCGAAACCGTACCGGTCCTCGAAAAAATACCGCGGTATTTTCCGGTATTTCGGTATTTGTGATACCCCTATCTGCGCCGCAATAAGGAAGATTTTTGGCTTAAGGATCTTCCAAATTTCTCAAAATTTTCGCCTGCGGCGCTGAAAAAGGAAGAAATTCTGTCTTTGGCCTTCTAAATTTCTCACAATTTTCGCCTGCGGCGCTGAAAACGAAGACTTATGTGTATATTGCAGGATGTTAATGGACTTGGGTGGATTTTAGTGATAGTCGGATATTTCAAGGGAAGGATCTGGCCTTCCTGAACTTGGGTGTTCCTCTTGGCCTTCAGAAATTCTCAAAATTGAAGCCAGCGGAGCGAAAAGAAAGGGATAGAGCTACGGATCTCGTGATCCATAGCCTCTCACTCGTATCCGCATAACTACACAAATCCCCGAAATAATATTATCCATTCATTTTCCACCCGGAGCCTGGAGCCACATTGATCATAGGCGTATCATGGAGTTTTGTCGGATTAAGAGGGATATAGGCGGATTAAGAAAATAAATGGGATTTGGATGATAATCCCCTGCATCACTGTCAACAAATGCCCAATACCAAGCACCGACTCGGGTTTTTCTCAAATACTCGGACGTACTCTAGTTTGAATCCTGATACAGCGGAAAAAACGTTTTTTTCAAATAAAACTTTACTATTTTTAAATTACAAATATTAAAATTATGTTCGTTTTTCGAATTTTAATGTTAAGATTTTAAAAATAAAATTTAAGAAAATTTTATAAAATTTTTAAAAAATACCGAATACCGGCCGGTATACCGAAAATATTGAGACGGTATTTTCCGGTATCGGTATTTTTCCGGTATACCGATACCGATACCGTACCGGTCAATTTTTGTAAAAAACGGTATTTTTCGGTATCGGTATTTTTTCGGTATACCGATACCGAATACCGGAAAAGGTCATTTGCCGAACACTACTTATAATGAGGTGTACTTAAAACTAGGGGTCATTGCTTAGGCAACTCCCTAACCTAATGCTTACCCATATTTCAGAAATCATAACTAAAAGTGAGCGTGCACGTGTCTTGGTTCTTATAGAATGGAGGGCAACTGGATTTATATTTTTTCGTCTCCACAAAACCCTCGGTTTTACGTAGCCCTTTGGCTAAAAAACGCATGTAAAGACGAGGTGTACAAAAACAGGAGATATCACCTAAGAAGCTTTCCCAAGTTATTTACAAACCCAAAGTTTGAAAATCGTACTTAAAAATGTGCTTTAGGTATATGTAAGAACGAGGTCGTTTGTATCTTATGTCCTCTCTCCACGCCTCCCTTTACAAAAAAAATTTCAAAAATTCAATTTTTCTCTCACCGCCAATTTTTGATTTAATTCCCTCACTGTAAGCCTAGTCAATTCCCAATCTTCCAAAGGAATTTCATTATTTTTGTCCAATTCAAAAGAATTTTGTTGACTTACTCCAAAGATTTTACAAGAAGAAATATTAGAAATATTCGAATCTGGAGAAGAAATATTTTTTTCTGGGGAGGAAATAAAATCAGAAGGGGAATTATAAGGGGAATTGGGAGGAGGTAATAACCACCAACAACTCCCATTGTCAGAACAGAATTTTTCTTCTTTTTCTGTTTGATTTAAATAATATTTATTATTCTGATTTAATGTTGTTGTATTTTTAGTTGAAGCAGAAGTATTTGTATTGGTTAAAAAAGGAAAGGATTGTGTTGGAGGCGCTGTCAAATCGTTCTGAAAAAGAATTTAAGAAATTTTTTGAAAATTCTTTTAAAAATCTCTATAGATCCTTTAACGAATCGGAGTTTTAGAAATTGAAAGGGAGATTCTGAGGGATTTAATCCCGAAAATCCAAGAGTCTGTCATCGTTTAAAGAAGAAAAAAGCACAACTGTGTGCCATCCGGGTTTGACTCTTTCGCTAACCCTTTATCCTAAGCAACAAGAAAATCTGTATTAGGAGCGTACGCCCACCACATTAAAGGTGCCCTACAGACTGAACTACCATGGTGTGCTGCATTCACCTTCTCTTATTTGATCTTAAAATCTACCTGACCTGCTCACGGATACTGATTTTAATATCCGGATATTTATGGCGGATACAGACGGATCTGTATCCATATCCGTGTCCATGAGCAGGTCTTACTCTTAATACAGCAGTATCGCCCTTTTTCCTTATACAACTAAACACTTAAAAAATGAAAATAAATGACCTCGAAAGTTTTTAAAAATTGTCGGGGAACACCATCCTCTTGCAGTGTATCAACACCAAAATTATTGTTTTCTGAGAAAGAAGAAACAAAATTGTTCAAAGTGGATGAATAAAGCATTAAAAAATTGTTTTTAAAAGGTCAAAAAAAATTTTTTTTTATATTTTTTTTTTGAAAATTTTACTAATTTTTTTGTTTATTTATTTAAATAATTAAGAGGGCGGGGAAGGAAAAAAGAACACAAATCTTTTTTTTAATATTTTTTTATATTTATTTAGGAAAACACACACATATTCTAACCCTTCCTTGAATGGTTAGATTTTTTATTTTATATATTTTTTTAGTTTATATTTAGTGATAAAAAAAGAATAAAGGTAAAAGAACCTTTTAATAACGGAACAATTTAATTTATGTACTTTTGTGATTTTTTTATTTTAAAAAGGTTGATTTTCGATTTTTGTTCCTGCCCTGCACTTCATAATTCCAATACCCTACAATTCCTCCCCATTCCCCGACCCCGATCACGGACATACTATCTATCCCCACGACACCCCAGTTCCTATTTTATTTTAAATAGGTTAGGTCCCGTCCTCTCCCTCCAAGTCCAATGATTTCTAGAACATCAGGTCGAGAACAGTTATGGGTAATAAAAGCGTTTTGTCTTTATTTTTTCCCCTGCTCAGTCTTAACTAAAAATAAGACTCAGAATCTTAGTAAATCCGGCTCCGAAGCAAGCTTCCGAAGCCAACTGGTCGGAAATAAAAAAACCGGTAACTCCTGTCCTATAAAATCATAAAACAATCTTTTGAAGATACTTAGACATTTTTACTTCTATTTATTTAAAATATTTTTTAAATGTTGATTAAAAATACAAATTAAAAATAGAAAAATTCAGTAAATTTAAAATAATCAAATTTCAGGAATTTTCCAAAACCTGGGACACACTGGCATTTATCACCAAGTGGCTAGGTAGACTAGAGGGTTAGGAACGGGACATTTCTGGAAATATCAAATCAACATATTTTGGGAGGTTCTGAGAAATTAATTCTAATGTTTAGAAAAAATTTAACAGCTAACGTTTATATTATTTGGGTACCATTTTTCCCCTAACATTTAAAATCTTCTCACAGATAAGGGCAAGGAGAGGGTATTATTACCCGGCAATCTGCAATAGATATATACAATGGTTGGTTAGAAATTTTTTATTGGCATTATCAATACCAAATTCCAAATAATGAATACATTGGCATGAATACAAAAGGGATATTTAATTATGTATTGTGTGTTGTTGTCAACATATTCAGTAAATTGATATTTAAATTTCTGATAGTTTGCTTCACCTACCCACTAGTCACAGTACGAATTTGGCTCGGAGAACTTTCACCGAACCAAATTCGTATTCTGATGGGTGGATAGGCGAAGCGCAAAGCTCCATGAAACGTTTTCGATCAATATTTTTGTATTCCGTCCCTCCAAATAGTGAATCAATTTCAATGCTAAAATCAAAAGTTAATCTAATTTGAAAAAACCTCGCTTGAGTTGGTTTAGGAAATTCAGATTTTTCTTTTGTAAAGAAAAGAAGTTTCAAAGTCTCAGGTTTTATTTTGAGATTCTTCCGGTAATCGTTGATGGGTACTTTATGGATATGTCACCCCCCCCCCTCCTATTTTGAGTCTCAGAGTTTTCCTTAAACGTAGAAAATGGTCAGAGATTATTTTCTTCTCCATGTCAGTCATTTTTTTCTTCTTCAAGTATTTTGCCTATTTATTTTGCTTTTTCACATATTTTGTACTTAAATTTCACTCATTTTGTTGCTGCATTTACCACATTTCACTTATTTTGCTTGAAGAAAGAAAAATGACTGACATGGAGAAGAAAATAATCTCTGACCATTTTCTGCGTTTAAGGAAAACTCTGAGACTCAAAATAGGAGGGGGGTGATATATCCATAAAGTACCCGTTGATGAATTGTCCATAATGTGCCTAAAAATACTTTAAATTGAAACACCAAATTAAAATCAAGCCTCTCGATTGTCAAAATCCTCAAGCTGGTTTTCAATTTAAAGTATTTTCATTTTATTTCCTTTTTTGCAATTAGAAGCATTTGCGGTAACCAGAAGTAGTTTGTTGTGTAGTTGAAAGAGAAGAGAGAAGCATAGTTAGAAGCATAGAGAAGCACACTTGCTATGCTTCTCTCTTCTCTTTCAACTACACAACAAACTACTTCTTGTTACCGCAAATGCTTCTAATTGCAAAAAAGGAAATAAAATGAAAATACTTTAAATTGAAAACCAGCTTGAGGATTTTGACAATCGAGAGGCTTGATTTTAATTTGGTGTTTCAATTTAAAGTATTTTTAGGCACATTATGGACAATTCATCAACGATTACCGGAAGAATCTCAAAATAAAACCTGAGACTTTGAAACTTCGGTACTTGTGGGTTATCCCTAACCAGTTTTTGCGGACATATTTTGCGGACTCTTTTGTATACACAGAATGGTCAGTCTTCCTCTTTCCTCAATTTCACTGTGGCATTATTCAATGAGAGGCAATAAAGAAAGGATTATTTTTAAATATAAATGACCGATTTTTAAAGCATGTTTGCCTCTCATTGAATAATGCCATTGAAATAGAGTGAAATTGAGGAAAGAGGAAGACTGACCATTCTGCGTATACAAAAGAGTCCGCAAAATATGTCCGCAAAAACTGGTTAGGGATAACCCACAAGTACCGAAACTTCTTTTCTTTACAAAAGAAAAATCTGAATTTCCTAAACCAACTCAAGCGAGGTTTTTTCAAATTAGATTAACTTTTGATTTTAGCATTGAAATTGATTCACTATTTGGAGGGACGGAATACAAAAATATTGATCGAAAACGTTTCATGGAGCTTTGCGCTTCGCCTATCCACCCATCAGAATACGAATTTGGTTCGGTGAAAGTTCTCCGAGCCAAATTCGTACTGTGACTAGTGGGTAGGTGAAGCAAACTATCAGAAATTTAAATATCAATTTACTGAATATGTTGACAACAACACACAATACATAATTAAATATCCCTTTTGTATTCATGCCAATGTATTCATTATTTGGAATTTGGTATTGATAATGCCATTAAAAATTTCTAGCCCGCCATTGTATATATCTATTGCAGATTGACGGGTAATAATACCCTCTCCTTGCCCTTATCTGTGAGAAGATTTTAAATGTTAGGGGAAAATGGTACCCAAATAATATAAACGTTAGCTGTTAAATTTTTTCTAAACATTAGAATTAATTTCTCAGA